CATGTGATGTCGCAGCGTTGGGGTCGGGAAGATGGAGAGACTTGGAGCTGAGTTCGATGTCTGGGTTCAATGCGACAGGATGTAGTGTGCGGTAGAGATGGGTGATGAAATAGCTGAGGTCGAGTTTCAAGACTGACGCTGTTTTCGCTCCGTCTTGGCCTTCGAGTAGTGCAAAGGCTGTAATGACGCAAAGGAGAGACTCGCGCGTAAGGTTGCGCTCGGGTGCTTCGTTATCGTCATCTTCATCCGATGCGTCTTCGTCGTCTTCAACTGCGGCAGCGGCCGTAAGCTCGGCGGTGGCGATGATGTCTCGAAGAGCTTCCAGGATATCTCCAAAGAAATCTTGGTTGATCAGGTGTGCGTATCGTGCCAGACCTTCCAACACCGCACCCATGAGTTTGGGCGAGCGGGCCTTTAGGATTCGGAAGTATGCCACAAACACCATCTTGAGCGTCTCAGCCTGCATCCTGTCACGCTCCTCGTGACTGACAGCTGCATCCGCCTCCTTGAACTCCTTCTCGATCGCTTTCCTCTCCTTGAGCTCCTTTCGTAACCTCTTTGTCCTGAACTCGCGCTTCTGCTTCATCTTCTTGCCATTGACCATTGGGTCTTCCGCCTTGTCGACGGAATGATATGAGGCCTTCTGCGCAAACTCTGACAGTAGCCGCAGGTGCAGAAACGTGTTCAGCACGCTTTCGTCGAAGTGGTAGTTCCGGCTCTTCATCATCTTTGTCAACATGGTGACGGCTTCCAGCGCAGCGTTGCCATCCTCATCGTTCTCAAACAGGGTTTCCATGGCCTCCCTGCATCGTACAAAGTCGGCATCCACCCTCCTCGTGCTAAGTTTGCCAACGAGAATCTTCAACAGCTCTCCACGGAAGTTGAAATGCGGCACCGAGTTGAGCAGGTTGCATGCGCAGCTGACAGCGACTGTTGCCAGACCAGCCATGTGCTCTTTGTCCGATCCACTCGACTTTGCTAGCCTCGCGAGGTGCTTTACATATGCCTCGTAGCTGGATACCAGCTTCTGCTCGAACTGCCGCAACTTCTTGACTTCCTTTGAGATCTTCTCTTGCATCTTCTCTTCCGACAACGGCCGAATCCTGTATCCGGGGATAATGTCCTTGAAGATGGAGACTTGTGTCGCCAACGCCAGCTTCTTGACGGTAGTGTTGTCCGAGTCGGCGAGGGCTTGCAGTGCCTTGAGCGCCCCAACGTGCTCCTCGGGGTCCTCGTTGACCAGACCTGCTATGCGCGCAAGCTCTTCCTTGGCGTCGAGTATCTGTTGTCGCGCTGGTATCTTGGGCTTCTCCTCGTCCACGTCTTGTAGATGCGACGCCTCGAGCGCCCCGTCGTCGCTGCCAGAGGCGAGAAAGCTGTCGGATTCTTCCTCTTTGATATCCTGCGCATTGGGCGGCGCCGCTACCCATCCCTCGGTTGTCCTGACGGGCAGCTTCTTGTTCTCCCTCTGCTTCTTCAGTCTGCGCGGTCGCGTTTCGTAGTCTTGTTCGAGATGCCATTTCGCGGCGTTCTTCACGAAGCTTGCCTGGTGGTCTTCGGCCGCGCCGCTGGCATGCTCGCCGTGTTCGGGCGGAGACAGCCGCCTTCTCTTCGCAGCCGGGACGCGAGACATGGCGCAGGTGCTCGTGGGCCGATGTGGGCGACGGTCAGGCTTGGTTGGGGATTGCACACCCGACTGTCTGAAATTTTGGCGGAGGCTGCGGAGGAGCCTAGCCCGGCTAGCATGCGCCCCACAAATTTTTGGCAGCAGAGGTCGACTTTGCGAACATGCGCCCAGCCCCAACCTCAACTCAGCACTTGTCTACATACGCCCACGATGAGGCCGCTCACAGAACCAGAGACCAAGACGCTCTTTGAGAAGCTCGCGACGTATTGCGGAAAGGGCATATCGAACCTCATCGCCGACCCTACAGGCGGGTCGGATCGCAATGTCTTCCGCGTCCAGGTATTCACTCTTCCAACCGCCCCCACCCGTCGCCAGCTAGCTCAACTTGCTAACAATCAACGCATAGGGCTCACGAGTCTACTACGTCCGCGAGTCCCTCGCCAATCTTGCCACATCCGTCGCGCGCGACAACCTCCTCTCTCTCGGCATCTGCCTGGGCAAATTCACCAAGACGGGCAAATTCCGCCTGCACATCACCGCGCTGAGTGTAATCGCCCCGCACGCACGATACAAGGTCTGGGTCAAGCAAAACGGCGAGATGCCCTTCCTGTACGGCGGCAATGTGCTCAAGGCGCATGTCGGACGGTGGAGTGAGGATTGCCCAGAACATCAAGGTGTTGTTGTGCTGAGTATGAACGATACGCCATTGGTAAGTCGGCCGCCAGCTGCAAAGCGACGAATCGAATCTTGAGCTAACATGCAACATCAGGGCTTTGGTGTGAGTGCACGATCGACGGCCGAGGCGAGGAAACTGGATCCTACGGGTATTGTCACCTTCAGACAAGCGGATATCGGAGAATACCTGAGAGAGGAAGACACTTTGTTCACAACTTGAGCGGCCGGGAGCCTGTGCGACCATGGACACTCTGCAAGAGAAGCTTACTGCTTCGCCACAACCGGGGCCAGAAACCAAGGCTCGCGTGCACGGCATATCCGTTTGCTACCCACTCGCATTCACTATGACAATACGCTGAGTAGTCCATCTGATGGTATCTAAGCATGAATGACCAAAGCATCATGCGCCACTTGCATTGTCATGCTGACTTGGACTTGCTCTTGCTTGTCCCAATGATTCTAATCTACATAAGTTTTGTGAAGCCGGTCGCTCGGCAAGGGTATCAATGTCTGATTCTCGTCTCCCAGCCAAGTAGAAGCTGCACTTGGAAAGTCGTAGTCTGCTGCTACACACTTCACCGCCGAAACTCCGCGCTCAACCCAGTTTCTCAAGAAGCTTCCTCCTCCTGCGCTCGACTAGCTCGTTGTTGACCTCGTCAAGGGTTGGGATGCGCCATCGTATGCCGTCGCCCACGTCACCGGGTAATTCCATCCACTCCTTCTGTGTTTTGCTCGGCTTTGCGTCCAGTTCATCGCCGAGCAACATGAAATTGTCCCAGGCCTCCTGCTCTTTGGCCGTTTCATATGCTAGCAGCGTGCCGTCCTCTTCGTCTAGGTTGTAGCCGTAGTAGCCCGCATCCACCTTCTGCCTCAGTTCACTCCTCTTTTCGCGCCCCTTGTCCATGTCGTCTTCCGGTCTGCTCTGCCTCTCGAACAACTCCTTGACCCCCGGCAGGTCCTTTGCTCGTCCAAAGTATCTGTATCCCTTTCCTCCTCCTGGCACCTCCCGCCCTTCTTCGTCAAGCACTCGCCCGCCTCTCATGTAGTTCGGTCCCCCCAAGCCTCTTATCTGACTTTCCCACATGTGCTTCTCTCTCATGAGTTTGTTGATCTCATCGTTGAGGTCGCGGATCTGGTAGTCTGAAAGGGCCTCGTCCTGGATCTTTGTGACTTTGCGCGAAATCTCCTTTAACACCTGACCGCGCCATTTCTCGCAAACCGGAATCGAGTTGACAGAGGTGATGAGCTTGGGGCGGCGGGTACGCGATATGTCGATGATACCAGCTTCCGCGGCCTGCGCAGCGCGGAAGCGGAAAAGCATCGAGTGCGCTTTTTCGGAATTACGCGCCATGCTTGCGGTCCGGACTCGGGTTCGAGCTCCACGTTGCTGTAAGGTCGCAGGGGCGAGAGGGCCTCCTTCGATGGCAGTAGCTTTCTGTCGGAGCTAGACGGCGTGCCGTGGCGCGCTTTGGTGTCTTGTCGGGGCGAGATTTTATTAGGCGTAATATACGATGTTCCAAGAGAAACAGATGCTGCCCCGCAGTTGCAGAAGTGAAGATTTGACAGAAACAAGATGCGCGATTGGTGTTCGTGTTGTCGTGGTCGACGAAAGACTCAACGTGACAGGCGCGTTGGCTGGAGCAAAAGTTTAGTGTCCCGGCCTACTGTCTTGGCGTTATTGCGTACCCACTTGGAATTCGGGACCGCCACAATCCCGTCTTGATTTGTTTTGGTGCTGCAAGACTATTGCTCCATTCATAGCACACTGACGACCCCTCTTGCAGCCTGTTTTGACATTGTGTCTAGTTTTGCTCTTGGCAAGAAGCAATCATCTGCACTATAAGGACGAAATGCAATGTGCAATCAATCTCGATCTTGTTTTATTTTTTATCAATCTGACCAGAGACAGTCGACGCTACACTTCTAAGCCCAGGTACAGACATTACATAACGCCCCTATGCTAAATATACAAGTAAAACAATACTGAATGTTGCAGGTCGAGGGAGAAAAATGAATCGGCCGCATATGTTTGAGATGCGCTTCTAGTAGAACGGAGACAAGACGGAGACTAGTCTAGGTGGGAAGCGTCAGGTCATCTCAGTGTACAGCTCCAACCCCAGTCGAGCGAACTGCGCAGAGTAAACAGGAAATACTTCACCGTTGAACGCCATGCACAAATCTCCTTGAATCCGCATTCGAATTTGAGTTTCTGCTTCGTCCGGATCCAAACCGAGGTGTAACGTCCAAAGGCCGAAAGATGAATTGATAGATACATAGGAAAGTGGGAATGGCCCCCATACGAAACGACTAGTGCTAAAGGAAAAGAGACCGTCAGTTAGACCAGATGACTAGAGAAGCGTCGTGCGGGACAAACGCGGATGACAAAATAGGAAAGGTTCAGGTATAAGGTGAGATTATGCACCAGCTCCATAGTTCGCTGCCTCCATCTCAGCCTGATGGCGCAGCTGCTCGTTGCGCATCTCAGTTCGCGACTCCGTACGTGACTCCGTACGTGACTCAGTCCGGGACTCTGTGCGAGACTCAGTTCGGGATTGCGCGCGCGAACTTATGGAGCCGAAGAGCGAAGGCCTGGAAGCTGAAGAGTTGACGTGCCGACCTTTGATTGAATGTTGATGAAGATGTGCAACATCGTGCTTGCCTTGTGGACTCGTTAGCTTTCCTACACTGATGCAAACAATCAAGGGGTCTTACCATCGCAGCATGCTCGGACGTTGGGCATGAAGTCATGATCACGTTCAACATGGTCATGGATATCACGACTGAGATCCATGTTGGACGCGCTGGGTTCCTCGTACGTGGCCGACTCTGTAGCGCTGGTCCTGCTGTTTCGCCGACTAGTGAAGGATCCGCGTAAAGCAGTGACGCTGGGTCGGAGCATGCTGTTGATTCGGCTGGAAACAGATCCATGCGCCAGCGGCTCGGTCGAGGTTGCACGATGTGGTGTAACATGCGACTGTCGAATCGTGGGCACTTGGCCATAATCGCGGGATGATGTGCGCCGGGTAACGTATGAGGACATCGAGCCTCTTGAACGGCCTGTTTGCCGAGAAGAGCTGCGATACCCGCCATTGAACTCGTCTTGAATCTCATCTGCGGTAGCTGCCTTCTGGTCTTGATCAGACTTCGTTGGCGACTTTTGCTGATCGTTCTCGTCGACCCGTTGGCACAGATAATTCAGAGCGTTATACCACGTCTCGTGCCTCTGACCTGTTGTAGCCGTGAACTTCATCGATCGACCAGGTGTGACGACAAGCAAGCTTTTCTGGTGAAGCCCAGGAGGTAGAGGGTTAGGGTCGTCGACTTCTTGAACAGATTCGATGGCTACGCTCTTAGCCTTCAATGTCGTCTTATCGGCACTCTGAGGGTCTCGGTCGCTCCAGTACAGTGTCCTAGTGTAAGGATGAATCCAGAAGAAACGCCGGTGACGGTTCTCAGACATGCCTTCGCGCCCAGTCTTGCGAGTGTACTTCCACAGATATTCGCCAATCATCGTCTGAGTGATGGCCTGGATCATGCGCGGATCTGTCGCACCGGGTGGCAATCCATTGGCAGCAAAAGACGGCCCCCCTGGAATATTGAAGCGTTGGTCTATTTCCGAAGTAAACGAAGATAGTGATGACCTCCGGCTAAGAGGTGAAGACGCTCCGCTACGCTGTGACTGTCGACGCACACGCGGTGTGGTCCCGCCTGTTCTGGGAGTGAGAGTGTTGTTACCAGTCTTGATGGTAGGCGTATGCGGTCGCTTCTTGTAGGCGGATGCAGGCATTGTAGGCGGGCCCATTGTGCCTGGGGAGATTGGTTTGAGAGAAGCCGCGGCGATGACTTCCTTATGATCCGAAGGCAGAGGAGGAGGCGTTGCAGCGCGAGAGCGCATGCTCCCCGAACTGCCTGGGCGTTTGGGTGTTCGACTTGTCTCATTGACATGCTTTTTGCTAGGCGACTCCGGCGGCGACAGCGACTTTTCAAGCCCGGACGTGGTTATCAAACTACTCCATCGCTGACTTCGAGCAAGCAGCAGCTTGTCGATCTGCTGAGCAGACACCATTGTCTGTGTAGCTCCATCGGCCATTGGCGTTTGGGGAGTCTTACTGGCGGCATTGACACTGACAGGTGGAAAGGCTGTGCTAGCATCCCTGCTATCAACCGGTGGGGTGTTAGCGTCCGTGGTATTCTTATTCCAAGATAGTAGAGTATCGAAGTAGCTGAGCTTGGGCGTGGATACTTGCTTATTCGCCGATGCTTCTGTCTGAGAAGAAGCACTAGTGGTTACGGAAGGCGCGGCGGCCCGATGAGCGGTACCAGGTCGCGGAGGAGCCAATGGTTCAGTATCCTGCGCAGCAACAGGGGACAATGTCATAGCAGGGACAGAAACACGATTTGCTGTGGATGGCCGACTTGTCGGTGTTGGCAAAAATGCCGGGAGCGTTGGCGACTCAGGCTGAGTGTCTTGAACAGTCCGCACATCGGAACTGTGATGTAGAGACACCGAAGGAACAGGTAGTGGGATCGGCACGGTCTGCAGTACGCAGACGGCTGACAATTGCAGTGGTATCTGTTCTGGCTTTACGGGTGTGGTGGCCTGAGACGAAACCCCAGAGAAATTAGCGAGAATTGGCCGCTCGGGTCCAATTGGCTCAGTAGTCAGCGAGGACAGTACGGAGATGGTCGACGGTGCTACCCTCAAAGGTTCAATGGGATTGGATGCCTGGATCGACAACGAAGATAGTTGTGACGGATCTGCTCTAGCCACTGCCACCGGGTCCGTAGAGCGAGCGGAGAAACTGGACAACACGAGTTGCGGCTGTCGTAGCGCAATAGGTTTCGTGACTTGTGCAGAAAGTGGAGAGAATTGTTGTCTACTGGTTCCCGGCGCGCGGGGTACTGTCGACTTAGTCGATGTCGTAGAAGATGCAGAGAGGACCACACGAGGCAAATCCTTGGGCTCAGTCGAGCGAGACACCAAAGGTGACATCTGTAACAACGTCGGCTTGTAGGGTGTGACTCTAGGCTCAGTCTCGTGGGCAGACAAACTTGACATTTGGAGTGGTGCACGCTTTTCTCTGTGACCGATATCTTGGGCAGGAGATGCCGGAAGCATATCGTCAGGGCTTCGATTTGACTCCGTTGTCGAGACATATTCGGCTAGTTGTGCGGGCTCGGTCGATTGTGCATAGATAGCAGACGTAAAAAGACCTGCTGGAGCCACTAGGGTTGGGGCAGTCGCCTTCCGCGGCTCCGTAGTTTGATGCGAAATGGAGGAGATGTCCAAAGAAGGTGTAATGTCCTTCACCAGCACTGGTACAATAGGATCAGTGCCATGAGACGATACTGTCGACACCCCAAGAGCAGGAGGAGCAATAAGGCGAGGCTCGGTGCTATGAACAGCCACTGACGACATATTCAGAGGAGCAGTGGGTACGGCATGTGGCGCCGTGTTTTGTGCATGAAGCGGAGATAATGCGAACAACGGAGCTGAAGGGATTGTTGGCTCGGTCCCCTGACTTGAAAGAGAGGACACAGCCAGCTGAGGTATCTCTGGGGGTTGGGGACTAGTAGCATGACCGGAGACGGAAGAGAAGCCAAGGGCTGGCCGAAGTGCAAGCTTGGGTTCACTGTCTTGTGAGGTGACCATGGAGACGTCGAGATTTTGACGAGGCAAAGCTCGCGGGCTTGTGCCTTGCGAATGCAGGGCAGAGACTTGTAATGTAGGCAAGCGAGCAGCATACGGTTCTGTGTTCTGACTCGATATAGAGGATATGGAAATAGGCTCGCGGGCATCCTGTTCGGTCATCGTGCCCGAATCAACCATAGTTGGCCTGGGAGCATCGGGTTGAAGAAGCGACCTTCCGAGAACAGCCTTTCTTAGTGGATCTGGCGTGGCATGGCTTGAGTATACGACACTGGATCGACTTGGTGATCCCTCGATGGAACTAGCATCATCGTCATCGCCACTCAGGTCGTTGAGTTCTGCCAATAGACTCTTGCCTTGGGCGGGAGTGTTCTCGTTGCTGCTGCTGACGTAGCCCGCGGGCGAGTCTCTTGACGCTGGGGGCGTACCTGCAAAGAAATCTAACCCTCTCGGCGTCGATCTCCGCGAACTGCTGTCTCTAGCTCTTAACGTAAAGCGCGAAGTCTTGTGGTGAAGAGGAGTCCTGAAATCGGAATCGTATTCATCGCCAGAGGCAGAAGCAGTGCTGCGGTAGGAATTGATGCGACCAGCTTGTGAGATTGAGGGTCGACTACGCCGGGCAGCAGAGTTGGAAGGGCCGGCCTCGGTCTCAGTCAGCTGGTCGCTGCTGTCTCCGTCGAGGGTCTCGGCTCCGGTTTGGAATGCGTCGGACTCAGTTGCCATACCGTCGCGTTCGTTGGCAGTCTCGAAAGCAGCATCTGAGGTTTCGTTGGCAGTGTCGAGGTTTTCGTATGCGCTCGTTCCCGCGACGGAGCTGAGTGCATTTGGAAAGGAGCCGGGTACAGAGTTGGATGGGTGCGGTGGCCGACTTGGGGTGTCGGGCACGGCCTCTTGCTCTTCCCACTCGTCGTCTTCTACAATCTCGTGCGACACGTTGCGCAAGGCCCCAAGACGATCTGGTCGAGCGGGTTTCTTGAAAGCATCCTTGTCGCTCTTCCTTCGCTTGCTTGCGCTACCAGGTCCAACTTGAGCGCGGGTAGCGTCTACTTCATCACGAGCGTCTTGGAGCATGCGCTTCAGTTCGATCTTTTCGGTCTTTTCGCGATGGATATTGTTCTTGAGTTGCTGAATCATGCGGTGGGCGTGTTGAAGCGAATGTTTGAGTGTTTCCGATTCGAGCATACCGTGGCGCGGAGTGGCCTTGCTTGGAGACGGTTCAGGCGAGTGTTCAGGCGTTTGAGATTGCTGCCTGACACCACGATCGTCATCAGACGATCTGTCAGATCGGCCACGATGCTCTGATCGTGCGCGGTAAGCGACAGCTTGAGCCAGCTCTTGATTCTTTGTCATGAGCTCTTCGACCTTGCGCTGCATTGCACCTTTTTCCGTCTCCGTCATGGCCGCGACTCGCCGCAGGCTAGAGAGCTCCGTCTCGTGCTGCTTGGTCTTGTTGATGTGATCGTCGTTGAGCTTGGTATACATCTGCTTCAAATCTTCCAACTCCTTCTCCAAAGTGGACCTCTCGGTACGTGCGAGATCCAAGGCATGATTGAGGCTTCGCTCCTTGTCTGCGGCCGACTTGAACTGTGTTTCCGACTCGCGAACCTGTGTCTCAAGATTCCAGTTGACGTCCTTGAGTCGCGATTCGCTTTCGTCCAATGTTCTCAGACGTTGCGACAAGCCTTCGACCTCGATTTCGAGCTGCGATCGGTCCAGATCAGCCGCCTTGAGGGCGTCATCCTTCTCGAGGAGGACGGCCTGGAGGTCCTTGAGCTGGGAAAGCAAAGAGGTGGAGATTTCGGTGGCCAGGGCGATGTCATTGATGCGGCTGGGCTGCTGGTTCCTCTGCTTCCGCGACGGAACGCTCACTTTGGTGGGTGACTGGATGGCGTCGCTGGAGTAGATGGAGCCACCGGCAGTGGGATCCGTCTCGCCACTGGGTACGCGAGACTTGGGGAGGAAGGCGCGAGCCGTCTCCCTTCCAACCTCGTTGAACTCCTTTTCTAGCTCGGCCAGCCTCTGGCGCAGCTCTGGCCCGATGTCGTTGTCTGGCTGCTGCTGCTCGACCTCGTGCAGCTTGTCCTCTAGCTCCTTTCTCTGCTGAACAAGCGCGCTCCCCAGATGCGACGTCTCCTGCAGTCTGCGCGTCGTCTCTGCCAAGTGTGCCTGTAGAGCGCGTTTGGCCTGTAGGGGTGATCCGTTCAAGTACAGCGAGAATTGCGAGTTGTCGAAGGCCGAGTATCGCTGCCGGTGGGCGTCGTGCGGTGCGGCGAGGAAGGGGTCGGCGCCATTGTGGTGCTCCACCGAGAGCGCGCCCGGTGGAGGATTTGCTGTAGCCATGAAGAGTCGCTGGATGCGTCTGCTATTGGGTCATCTCCTGGCGTGGCTCCCCCGCTTCCACGTAGACGTGCCCGGGACGGCGGGCGGAGACGGGATGCGTTGGGCGAACGGTGCAGGGCAGGAGTGGGCGGCGAGCGCGTGTCGCGGCGGCAGGCGGCGGCGGGGGTGTTTTCCAGGTAGTATTAGAGACAAGAGCGATGGTACGTCTCACTCTGTCGGGCTGTGGGTGTAATGCACAAAGGGTTTGGGGGGCAAGGACGCGCGGGAAAGCGACTGGGGACACGGCAGCGGCTGCTGGCACTCGGTCGCGTTTCCGTCACACTAGAGAAAAGAAGCAAAGGCGCATCCCCAGGCAGGGGCGCGGGATGGCGAAGAAAGAAAAACAAGGGAATGCCGAACGGGCTGGAGGGGCTACAGAGGCGACAGAGGAGGGATCATGGTAGAGCGCATGATGTTGTGCACAAGAGCGAAATGAGGCGACCGTGCGCTTTTGCCGCTTTCACGCTTTCGCCATGGAGCCAGCGCTGATACCCATAACATATCCACAACATCAACAAAGCTACGTCTGCGCCTCCATTGGTTCGCGCCGGCACTTGCTGCACGTCTGCTGCCTAGACTGCGAGACTGTCGTGGTAGTGCCGCGGGCCGAGGGGCTGTTTGCGTGTGCGATTGGAGCAACCCAAGCACGACGCGCATCGCATTACCCCACGACCGGCATCCCGGACCCCATCACGTGACGTCGAATTAATTAGCCACAGCTGGGCTGCCTCTCTGTGCCTCACTCCTACATGTCCAACATCTCGCACCTCCGCCACCCACGAAACCCCCGGCATGGAAGCACCCGTCGTCAAGTTCAAGAAGCGAGCAGCAAAAGCTGCGCCCCGGAAGGTGGCCCCGCCGCCGCCGCCGCAGTCGGATTCGGATTTCTCTTCCGGCTCAGAAGGAGAGGGCGAGCATGGCCGCGTGGTGAAGCGGCGAAAAGTCAACGACAACGCACTCAAGGCGTCGACTGCAGACCAGAAGACGCACGCGGCAGTTGCAAGTACAACGCAATACGCAGCAAATCGCTCGGCGGTCATGGAAGCAAGCAACGATGCGACGAAGCAGTCAAACTGGTACGACGAAAATGCCCGAGACGCTCTCAGCTCCAAGAACCTGCTCGGCAGCACGCGAACGAAGCCTCACCAACTCATCGAGAAGAACCCCGACGCTCCCAGTCGCCAAGTAGGACCCATGAAAGCATCGACAAACATACGGACGATTACCGTTACAGATTACACGCCGGATGTGTGCAAGGACTACAAGCAGACTGGTTTCTGTGGCTTCGGCGACAATTGCAAGTTTTTGCACGCGCGCGAAGATTACGCGGCAGGCTGGAAGCTAGACCGCGAGTGGGACATGTCGACCAAAGGCAAGAAACCTGGAGGCACCGTTGTCGCTTCTGCCAACAGGGATGAGAAGGAAAAGGACGAAGACGGAATGGATCTGGCGCAACTCGAAAAGATACCGTTTGTCTGCATCATCTGCAAGACGCCCTACAAGAGCCCCATCATCACCAAGTGTGGACACTACTTCTGCGAGCCTTGCGCTTTGAAGAGATATCGCAAAGATCCCACGTGTGCGGCGTGTAGTGCCAAGACGTATGGTGTCTTTAACGGCGCAAAGAATCTCCAGAAGCTGTTGGAAAAGAAACAGAAATGGGAGGACAAGAAGAAGGCTGAGGCAGAAGAAAAGCGGAAAGAAGAGGAAGGCGGCGACTGAGTCTGCTGGGTGGCATTACGGTGGAAACATCAACAAGCCGGCGCAAGCATGCGGCTGTGCTGGGCAACAGACGGTATCGTGGATGAACAGGCCATTCCTTCCCAGTCATAAAAGCGATACGTCACCTTGGAATGCAAGACGACATGACAAGGCAGAGGCATACCCACCGCAGCTCTCATGAAGCTTGAAGAGTAAACTTGCTGGCAAAGCTGCTGTCGTTGACAGGAAAAGAAACCAAGTCGCACGCCTCGTTGCAAGGTAGACTATACGACAAGTCCGTCCTCTGTTTGAGGAGGACAGGACTGGCTTGCGAAGCATATGAGGAAATATGCTACAGTAATACACATAGAAAGTAGACAGTGCGCTCATGCAAGTGTACATCAATCCTAATTAACGTGTTCACACTTTTCAGCCACGCCCACACAGTTCAGTCTACCATGCAGAGGCTCAATCTCTTCGTCTCCTCTATACTCGTCGTGATCTTCACGGTTTCAGACGACGTTTCACTCCACAAGAAGCATGGCACATCGCCGTTAACTCGCTAGAAGATGCTGTGGAGATGGAAACCAAGATGGCGCGGAAAAGTATCTGATAGTGGGAGATACTAGAGATCTAATGCGTTGCGATAGACACATGATATATACGCATACACGAGAAGCATCGAATAGCGGAAGAGTACCACGGTAGTTTGTGCCACATGTGCTTCAAATTAGCGAAGTGCGATGAAATAAAGACAAGTAAGGTAAACAAAAGGTTCGTGATATTAATACAAGAAGGGTTTGAAGGCAAAAAGTCTAATTGTCATGTTCGCTAGACATAGAGTCGCACTCTACATCCCACTTCCGGCACCGGGAAAAGCCTTCAACAGGGTTGCATCGTACTTAATCAGCTCGGGGCAACCAAGCTCCGCAATAATCGGGTCTAGAACAGAAGCCAACTTTTGCACAGCGACCAAGACGTTGCCAACTAATCCGCGGAGGACGTCAGGAGCAGCTTCGCTGGCAGCCTGGAACGCAAGGCACATTAGGTTATTACCCTCGAGAAGCGTCTGCGCGTTGAGAACGTTGCCTGTCAAGTCGTCAACATCGACGCCAGTGAACGTGTTTGGCTGGCCAGTATTTCCGCCGATTCGGATTAATTCGGGGTGGGCTTTTTCGAGCGAAAGGGCTTCGGAAGTGAAGGCCAGGATGCTGTAGTCGTCGCCGATGACGCGGCGGTACCACTGTGATGTGTGTTAGCGAATGCAAGCGGATGGTGTTACCGTGGGTACTCACGTTCTCGGGGATCTTCTCTTGCCCACGAGCCCACTTGTAATTACCTTTCTCTCCAGTAACACCCTGGAATGACATGAGTGTCTCGGCATCAAGGTAGCCTTCTGGGTTTTCAGCAGTGTGGTTGGCGAAGAAACGGTAGGTGAATTGATATGTCGCGGGGTTAAGGGCAAGGGCCGTGAGTGGGCCTGAGAAGTAATGTCCATTCGTAGCAATCGAGTGCTTCGTGCGGTCAAGGCGGAACGCGGTCAAGACGGGGATATCAATCCCGTTCTCGCCGAGAGGCATAGAGAGGAGCTGCTCGAAATAGTCCAAGTTGAGAGAGATGGGGTTGCCCCTACGAGTAATGAGTTATGCTGACCATGCAACATGCAGAAGAAACGGGAATGACATACGTTGAGTACAAGTCCCCTCGCGTGGGAGATCCATCAACCTCGAAGCGGTTGTGTGACGCACTCAGGCCTTGTGGTTCTCCGAGAAGGCCGAGTGATGAGGTGACACCGCCTAGGAGTCCACCAGTCTTAGGTTTGCCGCCAATCGAAAAGGAGGTGAGATCACCGGCCATGACGGCGGAGTAGACTGCCAGAAATGCGGAAAGATCCAGGCCCATGCCAAACACTGACTTTGTTAGCAGTCCGTGAATAAGAGCGTAAAGGCATGCAGACCTTCATTGGCGGCCGTCGTCATTTGTGTGATTGTGGAGATGCCATTTCGGGGAAGGTAACCGTGGTTTGCCATCACGTTGATACCAGGACAGGGTCCACGGAGATCATTGGGGCCTGGCGCAATCTGACAACGAAGTCGTTAGCAAATGCAACTACATGTCGCGCATCTCGGTAGGGCTACTCACGTATTTATGGTCACCAGTGACACTGATGCGCTGAGCCTCTGCGTTGAATGCACGTTTGACGTGGGTACCCGATCGCTTACTCTCGAAATCTCTTGAGATATTCTCTGTCAAAGCGGTGATTTCCGCAAGGGTCGCTTCACTGATGTCGCCTTTGAGCATGCTCGCAGGGAAGGCGAAGGTCGCCAATGAGAAGAGCGATGCGCTGCATAGTACTGAGACCCTCATGTTTGCAACAACAAGCTCGGATGTTCGGGAAAGAGTGTGAAGGAAGGACGTGTAGTTGGATTGAGGAAGATGCGGTCAGCGACAGGGACGGATCGTTTAAGTTTCATAGTGGCAAATGAGTGCTGCACATACGTGGGCCGCCATGACTCTCCATCTAACTGTCGCCGATAGAGATGCCAATCCGGGGTCAGGTACCCTCCAGCACAGTCATGACAGCCCGCTTTACTTGCTTCAAATCGCAGGGTGGAGGGCCTGAGCAAAGAGATCGACGTGGGCGTTCTCTCTGCACGCCTTGACCAGCCGTAATCCGCTCGCGCGAGCCATATGGTTCAGTCCGTTCCCGGGTTTGCTAAATCCCGCGACTGGTGTTAAGGAGAATAAAGCGCTCGAGCCTTGCCTAGGCAAGAAGTTAGGCTTGCACTGGGTACATCGTAGGAATGTCGAGCGAGTGTCCCAAGACTTTTGAGCCCTGAACGGCGATCCAAGCGCGCCGGACCGTGTTCGGGTGGGTACCTAGGTAGTTAAGCCTCTAGATCGGCAGCTAGATCTCGCCTTTTTTACCGCATTTGGCTGACCAACGTTGTACAGAGATGATGAACGTTGCCCGCATCGATCAAAAGCGGGTTATCTATTTTCAACACGCGTGAGGCTGCAAGAAGATTGAGTGATCTATGCATCCCGCCCTCGCCCTACTTCCATGCGGCGGAAATGGAGATTGCGCTGGTGAACACCTGGGCATGTAAACCCGCCGGCAATAACACATCGGGCCAAGACGCATCCGAGACCAGCGCATGTGGTCTAGCGGGCATGATGTCTACCTAGGCCGTCGTTCATACGTGCTAGTAGGTTGAAGGTATATTCCTCGCTACCCAAGTCAGAGCCCAACGCAGGGACAACGTCGGACTGAAGATGTTATAGTTTCCAAAAGCCGATCATGGGTGACAAACCACTTTCGGGGACCAATGCAACAAGATCGGTGCATTACCCGGCGTGGGCTCCAAGTAGGGTCGCATGCGAGTTCAAGTCTCGCGCAGAGAGACCCCACTGCATGATTGGCGGCGAACAATGATACCTACGTACTATTCTAAGCGTCCCCACAAGCATATGCCAAGTTTGTACTTCAGAACAGCCCCAATGTTCTAGTTTGCGTTATAGGAGACGGATCTCAGCCGGGTACCCACCACCCAAGGAAAAGGGTGAATACCGGCCACTACCCAGGTGGCCAAATTACATCCGCAACCCTAAGTATACTCGACATCGTTCGATATAAACTGGATCCTTGTCCCACGTCAGCATCGTAACGAAGCACCACAACTGGATCTTGATATAGCGCCAAGGAGCATTCGCTTCAATTCCTTCTCCTTTGCGTAATTCTTGAGTCCAATCCAAATGGCTGCCTACGATTCTTGGGTTAGCAACCCAGACGAGAGCCATGGACCGCTCATGTCCGTCGTCACCTGGTCGCTCGTTTCTGTTTCCGCAGTCTTTCTGTTCTCGCGGCTTTATATTCGGCAGCGTCAAGGGAAGCTGTGGCTGGACGATTGCACACTTTCCGTCAGTTGGGTAAGTGCCACAACATCCCTAAGCAAAGAGCAGCTGACTCATACGACATAGATCTTACTTCTGGTCCAAGTTACCATAAACCAACTGTCTATCAACATAGGCTACGGAAAACATACACTTGACCGTAAGTTGCCAAAGGAGAATTGCACACTTCACAGCTCGGAACGCTAATCTTTACGCTAGTCGATTTGCGCAATCTTGATAAAATGATGTATATCGGCGCGGCGGAACTGACGATATATACCGTCGCTATTGCGCTCAGCAAGATCTCCTTTGGACTCACTTTGCTTCGGTTGACGGACGGACGGGTCAGACTTTTCGTAATCTTTGCGATCTCTACCCTGGCGATTTTCGCAGTCCCTGCCACCGTCATACCATGGGTACAATGCAAACCGCTGGCCAAAACCTTTGTGGACCTCATACCGGGCGAGTGCATTGACAAGCATCCCTCTGTCGTGTATGGGCGTTTCCAAGCTGGTGAGCAGACAGCCTCAAAGTGTGTACCCTGATTCCTTAGCTGACATGCGACGCAGTGTGGTCAGCACTTATGGATGTGTGTCTTGCTGTGCTGCCGTGGAAAATCCTTTGGAATCTGCAAATGCGTACCGCAGAGAAGATCGGTGCAGGTGTCGCCATGAGTCTGGGAATACTGTAAGTTCATGCATTGCCGGATTGAAGACTGCGCTGACCTGGTTGAAGAGCTGGAGTTACGTCAATTATCAGATCCACATACATTGAGAAATTGACAGTCCAGGATGTATCATGTAAGGCATCTCAAGGCGTGCACGGATCATTGCTAACAGCCACAGATGAATCGTACAACTCCATCATATGGGCCGTCGCAGAGTGTTCCATGGCCATCGTGGCTACCTCGATTCCCGTACTTCGCGTCATTTTCAGGCAGGCGTTCAACTCGGCGATGGAAGGCTACACGGGCCAGAGTAAAAGCAAATCAAGATCGAACCCTTCCAACGCTGGGAGCTCGGGGAACCGATTGAGCACACGACAATTGAGCAAGAAGACGCCAGATATATCGGTCAGCGGAGAATCTGTGAAGGAAGTGTTCGGACGTGGATCACGTGGATCCAAGAACTATGTAGAGCTAGATGATTTGGTAGTCGACGAGGCGACTGGGCGCGCTACTGCTTCGTCTCTAGAGTCTCTGGCAAACGATGGCGAGCGCCATGTGCTAAACTGGCACGTGTAGCTTGCTCTGGGATTACCTAGGTCGCGCGCATAAGGCGGCTAGACCTCGAGGGGGCTGCGCGCGAACAAGTCGCATCGGCTCATCAATCCATCACTCCTGCTGCTGGGGGCTGTATTATTCATAAACAACATGGAGTCAATCATACCATCAATCCCGTCATCATAGTGGTGGCTCCAGATGTCGGCAGAAGGCCGAGTCACCGCTCTTTCCAGGCTGTGGGGCCACGTGGTTAGCGTTTTGGCTCGAGCGTCCGCGCGCTCCCCAGGACTGTCCACATGGTCGCACCCGAATGCTCAACCACGCTCGAGAGATCTTGTGCCCTAGGTGCTGCTTGGCTTCCTCGTTCCCATCATGGCCCCGACATGCTGCGCGCGGCTGCTATCCGACATTGATGCACAGACGGAGTGCAGCCAGGAAGCCACTTCCCGAGATGGCAAATTCTGCCCATTTCATGCTTGGCAATGCCACGGTAAGCAGAAGTCGCTATTGTCGTAGCGTTTCTAACACTACGCAGCTCTCTACCAGGGATACAAGCGGCGAAATGGCCTCCTCGACTCATTGGAGCTGCCTGCGTACCTCGCAAACACTACCAGATCCCTCATCGCTCAAGACTTCAACGATATCACGCAAACAACAGCAATCTCTGAATTACAGAGATATCTATTTCGAAGATACACTCTGCTCGATCGTGTACTCCGAGCGCGCAAACTGCATCATCGCCATTTCTTTGCAATGGACAATAACTATGGTCACACGGTATATCTGGACCGACTGCAAAACAACAAACACGAGACGGTGAAGGCTCTCGAGAAGCTTGGCAAACGAGCCGCCGCAGTCGTTCATGAAGAGCAGCGGTGGCATCACTGGGTGAGGGAATGTCAGGAGAAGGAGGAGGAACAGGCGCAGAGCGAAGCAAAGAAGGTGAAGCTGGAGTTTCAGCTCTTTAAAAGATACGAAAAGGAACTCGATCGTCGTCAACGGGACATGCGATCTAGAGAGATCAAGAGGCGCGAAGAACAGTACTTGAACCAAGTATATGCAGAGCGCGCCCAGACGATGTCAAGGGAAGAGGAAGAGGAATGGGAAGAGCAGTGGGACCCCATTCAAGATATTTATGGCTACGAAAGAGGTCGCTATGTCGAGCTCATCAATATGTTTCTGATGATCAGTGAGCAGGAACATGAAGACTATTGCGCAGGTGTGGAGGCATCTCAGCTTGATGGCCCTGCCGCACCGACATCTTCGCACCAAGCCACCGGACAAGCCGCGACGGGCAAGAAGTCCATCATAATGGAGACCAAGGAACAGATGCGCAGGAGACTTCAGACGCCTGTCAACTTCGAGCGCGCGCCAGGCCAATATCTTCCTGAGTTTTTAAGCCCAAGGACGACGACTCCCGTAGTTCCTCACGACGAGATCGAGACGCTCTTGGATGAGATTTGTGAGATCAAGAACTTTCTCTTCTGTCGACTTCTTTTGGCATCAAGTGCACTCCTGCCTATCGCACTCCAGGCCGGCAGCATAGAGGAACTCCTGCAAAGCGAAGGTGTGACAAGGGAACATTTACGAGATGTTTGCCTCAAGCTGGAGCGTCCCAGTCTTGAGAACATGCGAGACGCGTGTGCGGACTTCATGCGTGAAAGGGATGGGGCTGATGCACCAAAAGACATTGCCAAAGACCTCGCCCTGATGGACATTATCGACGCCCAACAGCGAATCCAGATCAGGGTCTGTGGCCGCCATATGTACTACTACCGTAACGAGCGCGCTCTCAACCGCAGCGGCTGGTTTCACTTCTCTATCATCGCGAAAGACTCCGAGCTCGCCGATGCCGTTGCGCTTTGTCGAAACTGGGAAGAGTTCTTCGAGCTCACGATACTGTCAATGTATCGGTTGTTCCCGGCTCCAAAGTGGACGAAGTTTGTGGGCGATGTGAATCGTCAATGCCTCCTGCTTCTCGGTTTCATACCTTATTTCCAAGTCGACGGCGCCGAAGCTAAAACGACGCAACATAGGATTAGTGGTCGTGCTAGTTCGGGACGGTCGTACAATTTTAAGGAATCACGCAACATCCTCTGCGGTATCGTCAAGCGTGACGATACCCTCAATCGTCGATTCCTTGAGTGCCTAGCAATGGAGTCGGCCGACCTTCGTGTTTTGGTTCATGATCCGGTGACTGGCAAATTCGTAATCCAACCACCAAAGGAGGAGTTTTGGCTGAGCCGCGAGAAGGCCGGACGTGGCAGGTCTACAAAACATGAATACACCGTCACAGTTGAGGTCGATAACGCCTTTTTCGAACAGGCCACCGCCTGCAGGGCTTGGTCGTTGAACTTCAACGATTATTATAATGTTTATATCTGGGATGCACCGCCCGGTCGGAGTGCAGATGAGCTACAGGGCAAAATACAAGAGGTCCGTAAAGTGTCAAGATATCTACTTTGAAGGAGCTAACAATGACAGGCATTTTTACGTACCCACAAATGTAGGAAGGGAAAAGACATGCTTGTCAGAGTTCGGCACATAGTGCAACATATCACAAATGATCGTGAGAATAGACGTGTTCGCAGCATTCGGCCTGGAGAGAATGTTCCTAGCATGCTCGATGACTTCGAGCTTGGCGCAGAAGCTTTTCCCATCCCGATTGATGAGATATACAAGGAGCGATTCTTCACAGAGATCGACGAAATAGAGGATGCCCTTTTATATCCAAGGCGCGCACCTGGCGACAAGTCGCAGCCACCCTTCCCCCGAGAGATTGTTGGGAAGATACACCGGAGGACAAAGTGGAAGTGGTGGAAAATTGCCAGCGATGCCAGCACTGATGAAGAGTCATCTGCTTCTGATGAAGAGTCATTTGCTTCAGACGATGCATCCGAAGCTAAATCCGACGAGGGATCGCAGAAAATGAACGATCCAAGAGCAGTGTTATTGCGGCGCATGTTGGCGAACGACCCTCATGTTAGTGTTCTGGCCGGAAAAGCGATTGACAAGCTCCCTTCGAAGAGAGAACTCGACGCATTCGGTAATCATGGAACGCTGATCCCACAGTTTCAATGGGCGGACAGGTCACTGGGTTACGATCATTTCTTACCTATGTTTGACCGTAAACGTGCTTCTGTGATACCAAGCGAACTCAGGGATTCTCCTTCGAAGCTTATGGACACGCTAAGAACGGCTCTACGCCGTCAGCGAGAATACGATATCCAAGGGAAACATCTCATTCGAGAGCTGTGCGGGAGCCATGGGCAACGGTCAATACACAGGGGTGAGTTTATCATCGCTTAGAGTGACACCAACTAACAGTTGCATTCTAGTTGAGAAAGAGGCATTGCACATGGGCGACCTGGAGCCCGGTGGCCTCGGCCGGTATATGGAGCACAAGTCCATGGTAACGGCCATGGACAAGTTTGTCATGAGCGACATCAACACAGGCCCGTTCGAGCTCTGCAAGTTCATGCACATGGCACCTCTCATCCAAAGTGAACGTCGAATCGTTGACGAGGCTTTCCAGGCTTACGCCGCCATCGCCTTATTCTACCAGACGGAAGAGTTTCTTGCTTCCGAGCACGGCCTACCATTCCGGTCTTCCCTGCTGTTTGACCAAGAAGAAAGAGCTAAGCGAACCCCTGATCGAAGAAGCCATGTCAGCAATCCATATATGCCAGCAGAGTTGTGGACAGATCGAGATGAGCTCCTGAGACGCAATCAGCGAAGCAAGCTTGATCCTGTCTACGATATTTACCCGATAGAATGGCGTAAAAGGATACGTACCGTGGTTATGACCTTGTACAAAGCCGGCATCATACAAAGTGCTTACACACCCCAAGTTAAAGGTGTTGCAACTGCCGCCGCCGAACCCAACCGCGCGCTAGATTTCTACCTTGATTTCCGAGCCCAATCCAGACCTAAATTCAAGGCTGTCTTGGCGGATCCTACACCCTTGAATCGCGACTACATAGTCAAGGCGGCAAACAAGTTCGCGGCTCAGCATGGCTCTGCCAGGTTTTCGGCGCTGCGACTGTGGTCTGCTCCGCACTTTTACCCAATGCAAGCTAGTGGGAATGAGACATTCGCAGACGATCGCGGCAGGTACTGGGCTTGGAGATACATGCCTAAGGACTCGCCACTCAGTGAGTGGAACACGCACAAGATCGTGAGTGACATGATGGAGCAATACAGACGGATATGGGGAAACCAGGTGAGAGTTGCCAGGGATCTGATCCTGGTCATGGGCAAGGACGCAGACGAGTGTCGGAGGCTCAGTGAAGGGGTGACGTGGGCTACGCAGACGCGCAGGGTGTATGAGATGGACTTTTGGCGAAGCTTTGTAAACGTAGACGCCGGCTTCCTGGAAAGGTTGCATCCTGTATGGCTTTCGTAGCAAGGCGAGCAGACAGCAATGGCAGCTCCTGACGGTTCCTGATGCACTATCTTGTCGGTCAGCAGGGTGGCTTGGCACATGCCGGAGCGGATGTACATGTACGTGTGTTGTGCATGGGAGAGCCCCCACGGAGCGCTGCCTGAAAGGGCAAGGCGTGTGTGGGAAGCTGGGCGGGTCGAAAGCGTGCGAGGGCGGCACCCTGAGCGCTGCCCCTCATGACCGGCGGCGGAGGCAGAGATTTGCAAGCACCATCTGGACGCCGCCCGAGCACGCGATCAAGCTTTGCGACGCTGGGCGCCGGCCAACCGCCCGTCAGCCCCCGAATGCGGCGCTCCCGACACCAGGTACGCGACGACTGACCTCTCCGCCCTCTACCAGCACGCGAAGGCGACCGACGCCAGCCCGGCACATGCCCAACGCGGAACTGCAGTCGATGCTTCTCACCGCCGACGCGGGCCTGGCCGAGGTCCCCGGCTGCACCAGAGAGCAATTGGACGCCCTGGCCCGCAGCGTCGAGCTGAGGAGGCAGCAGCTCGAGGCCGACATCCGGGACTACATCGCGGCCAAGCAGGCCGAGCTGCGCAGACATGGCCACGAGGTAGGCGTCCCGGCCCCTTCTCTGCGTGCCGTGAGAGACTGATTTGGGCCTAGCTTGCAGACCGGTACCGCGACATGGCAGGCGGCCAGCAGCCTGCGCCTGCAGTGCCAGAGCAGAGCTGCCCAGGGCCTGCCCCGGGCCCTGCTGCACCGCTCGACCCGGCGCCCGACGACAGGATGCGGCTCAAGAAGCACACGCGCGTGCACAAGCGGGAGCGCGAGCTCTATGGACTCGTCACGCCCGTCTTCCTTCCCTTGCTCGATGCGCGCGACAGCTCGCCCGAAAAGAAGAAGACGCCAGCCGCAGGACATGCTGAGCACGCCCGAGACGACCCGAAGCCTACGAGCGACGCCCGAGACACCGCGGCCATGGCGCTGCGAGAGCCAGCCCAGCTGAGGCTGCCAGCCAAGAAGTCTGCGCTGCGGCACAAGGACACGCCTCGATCGCGCCGGAAGAGAGTCAGTCTGGTCATCCATGGCCAGACCGTCCTTCCCGCAGACACCGTCGCCGAACCACCTCTGGCTTCGCCCAGCAGCGTCGCAACATCGGCTTCCACCTCGACCGCTTCGCTCGACGACATGATAGATCCGCGACTCACCACCCCGGACCCGCCAGTCCATGTCCAACGCCCTGACGCCGTGCACCACAGCCTACCTCTCCCCATGACCAACGCCATCAACTCGGCTTCCAAGCTCCTCTCCGAAGCCCCGACACCCATATCCGTCGCCGCCGCCCACATCCCCCCAGTTGCCTCCCCACGGTCCCCCAGCATACCTTTGGGCCCTACACAGACCGCGACACCCACATTCCTCGACCCTTCGCCCGCTCTGCACCAACACATCACGCAAACGATCCCGGACACCGCAGGTCCAGACCCCATCTACTCGACCGCACCAGCTACGAGTGCTGAACTCGAAATTGACGACCTCGCAGACGACGACACGAATTTCGATACTTACGTCGGCGGCTTACACGGGAGTGGTGTTGACGATGTGGATCAAGCGGGCAGTTACGGATATCCGAGTAGTCTGGGAGCCAGCTACATGGAGAGCTATATGCAGAACCGACCATTGAGCGTGAGGATGCAGGCTGCGAACAAGGCGGGCTTGGCTGACGAGGAGAAGAGGAAGCTGCTCGAGCAAAGAGACGACAACGAGGCCGAGGCTGAAGCTGAAGAAGAAGAAGAAGAAGATCACAGCAACAGCACGAGTGCGGGGCATAAGGCTGTTGACGCAACCGAGGACAATTTCATGGGAGATATGGACGACTTCTGAGATTGGATGCCACATCCTTGTATATACGCGCGACCTTTCGATCCTTACGCAATCTTGTTTGTTAGACACTAGGCATTTCATGTACACGACAATATCTACGGACCCTTTATACAGCCCTGTTTGGTTTACTCTGGCTCCAAGAGATGCTCACACTTTAGTCCCGCTGGCTAACCTGCTGAACTCGATTTACGACTCTATCGAGCAGGCTGACCATTTCATCGCTCACGAATCTGGGGTCGTCTTGTTGGATAAAGTGGCCACAGCGGACAGCTGTGATGGGACCTATGGCTTTGCCTTCGTCCGTGATGCGACAGAGACCTTCGTTGTAGCGACGCCAAGCGGGGTTGGCATAAGTCATGGTCAGAATCTTGGGTGTCTGCATTGTACCCTCGTCTATTTGCCGGGTTAGTCTCTGTAGTCCAAGCGTCGACTTGGAAAGAGACAGGTACGTACACGACTGCTCGGCAAACGTTTCCCAGTCATGACCTACGACTGTGAGGTACGGGCCTCTGCCCAAGTAGCCCTCGAGTTTTGGTGCATCTGCGTAGGGTAATAGTTGTGGCAGATTACGTCTGGATAACCCCTCTTGACTAGGAACGTCGGGATGGAACATTCTTCTATACTTTTCTCTGGTAGCTCGTACTTCGTCTTGTGTGACACCTTCGGGTAGTGTGTGCGAGTTGAAGTCTGGTGCATCGGGGTCCGGCCACAGGTCTTGGTAGTCCGAGTTGGCCATGATGCTGTCCAGGAACAACAGACCAGATACGGTTCCTGGATAGCATTGCGCAAAGAGTCTTGCAAGTGCGCAGCCGATGCTGTTGCATACAAAGATGAGACAGGGGTAGTGCGTAGGTTTGTTGACGTCAAGGTGTTCCCTCCAGATTTGTAGGGTAAATTGCTTCAGTGCTTTGACTGCAGATATCGCGTCGTGTCCGTGGGACGGGGGTGGTTGCTGGTCGTCGGGATCAGGATCTGAATCTCCTTGACCATATCTGTCGTAGCTCAACAGAGCAGGATACGGTAGACGCCCCACTATTCTCTTTTCCAGAAAGCTGCGCATGGCAGGATCCCATGAGCTTCTTGGCATCATGAGCCCGTTGAGGAAAACGATGAGCGTTTGCGAGAAAGGGTTCGGATGGCCGCCGTGAGGTTTGGATGCAGGGTAGTACGTGTAGTGCAAACGTGCACCGGGCTTATTGTCCAGTGCCAGTGAGGAAACCTCGGCATCCGGAAATGGTGGAAGGTCATCTTCGGATGAGTTCATGCTACCGGGGAATGGAATCGCGTAGCTGCGATTGTTCATGGAGTCGTGTTCCCGAGCTGTGTTGATGGGGTCTGCTTGTGCCGAATTGGTACCTGGTGAATTAGCCTGGTCCATGGTAGCAGGCTTTTCCCTTGTTGCCGGCCCTCCTCTTTCTTTCCTGGTCAAGCCTGAGTACTTGAGTTGCGGAGAGATGTACGGGAATGCATCCATGGCCTGGCGCAGTGGGGGCGTAGCGATTACCAGCCATGCAAATTGAGAAGGGGCGATGTGCAACTGAAGCGGAAGACGCCGGAAAGGGGTCTATCGGGCAGACAGAGACGGCTGCAAGATTCAGGAACGAGTAGGCAGCTGTTGTGTTCACGGAGGCTAATTCGAGAGTGCATTCAGCAACACATTACCCCTCTTCGCGTCCAAGGCGGGAGAGAAGAGCAGGATCTAGGTCTCGATCGGAGCCAGGGCCTATGCTGCCAATGAGCTCTCACGTGTAGGCGTGTTCCATGTCGCCAAGGGTAGCGATGTTCAAAAGGGTTACGAGGTCGACCAAAGTGGTGCGCGCGCGGTATCGGTCGAGACGATGATGTCGCGAGATGGCGCGAGATGGCGCGGGTCACGGGCACCCGCTCATGGCAGCCGAGCGCGAAGGCGGGTGGCTTGGAGATTCTGGCAGACTAAGAAACAAAGCGTGAAACCAGAAGCGAGCGCTGCAGGAGAAGGAACCTTGGAAAACACACGGCGCTGCAATGGGTGGGGGCGACGTATGCAGCCAGGAACCGGCGGCTATGACGTGGGCGGGTTCCCTCTCACCGTAGCCGCGTGCCGCGTCGCTGCATGTGCGCTGGCTGCGTCCCCTTGATATGAGCAACATCTCACCCACGCCGTTGCTGCCAGCCGCTTCCCACCGCCCAGTCTTACGCCCTCCACTCCGACGCATCCCGCTTTGGCTCGTCTCTTCACCACCCGACGCTGCCCACGAGCCCGCAGTGTGCAGTAGGTTCGCCTTGGAGAGTTGATGCACCCTGACCATGTGAGAGATGGACTATACCAAGTGCATGCACGACCTAGACTGACTCGGTATCTTCACCTTTGCAGGCCATACGCCGACGCTCACACCCAGACCGTCTGGGCTGGCCTTTGCAGGATGCATGTCCGCCCTGACATCCTCTTCACGGCACCCGACACTACCACTCCGCCCGCCGAGATGGTAACGGACAAGTTGCAGGGCCTCGACAACATGGTGACCGGCGCCCAGCTGGGCACCCTCGACTCCAATGGCGCCTCGTTGCAGAGCCTGCTCCAGAGGCGACACAGACGGCCGGGCATGCCCACGCGCATCTCTCTGCCCCCGGCTGATGTCGACGACCAAGTCCTCCCCTCTCCGCCTCCGACGCACGCTCTCCTCTCCCCGTTGCCCGAAGCCAACAAGCGCTTTGCCGGCCACACTCCGCTGATTCCACGCGCCCTTTCGCCAGTGCAAGACGAGCAGCCCGCTGTGCAAGAGCCGCCTGCCCAGGAAGAGCAAGCGGGCACACCGCCAGAAGACCAGCCCTTGATAGGCCCACTGATGCTGCCTACCAATCCCGTCGATGGTGCAAGCGACCACATAGCACTCGAAGTGCTGGACGATGTACTCGAAAAGGTTGCCAAGGACCAGGACAGGTTCAGCAAACTCAAGGGTGCCCCCGACCCTGCAGCTCCCCCCGCACCCGCCGAGAACGCCCAAGAGGACTTGCCATTGAGTCACAAGGCATCGGCCGCATCGCGCAATCCGTGTGCCACCAAACTTGTCGACGGCGTCAGGCTCAAAAGCCCCCCTTTGAACTTTGGAGCGCCCATTGGTCAAGTATAGTCTGCTTCCCAGTCGTAA